CCCACTGAGGTGCCTTGATACAGCACTCTGGGAACAGACTATTCGTTCAGCAATTTCTTTCTGTGTCTTACCCTCTTGCTTGAGGGTGTCAATGATGGCCTTCTGGACAGCAGTCAGGTCGGCAGTCTTACCCATGATTGCGGTTTTGAGGAATGAACAAGGCTGGGAGTTTTTAAAAGCCTCAGGAATCTTTTGCAGGTGTTAAGAGTTACGTCGTTGATTCAGATGGTTAGGTTAATATCTTGTTTAGAGAACCTTTTCATGATATGCTAATTTTTTGGGACAGGCATTTTGGGTTTTCATGAGCTGTATGCGGCAGCACGGTGGCGCAACTGGTAGAGCTGCTGCCTCTCAGCGAACAGGTTCCTGGTTCAAACCCCGGTCCAGAAGCCTTTCTGGGTGGAGTTTTCATGTTCTCTCCGTGCATGCGTGGGTTTTCTCCGGGTACTCCGGTTTCCTCCCACAGACCAAAAACATGCATGTTAGGCTGATTGGTAACTCTAAATTGTCCCTAGGTGTGAGTGAGAGAGTGAATGGTTGTTTGTCTCGTTTGTCTCTATGTGGCCCTGTGATGGACTTGCGACCCGTCCAGGGGTACCCCGCCCCTCGCACAGTGATTGCTGGACATGGGCACCAGCGACCCCCATGACCCAAAATGGAATAAACGGATAAAGAAAATGGATGGATGGATGGATGAGCTGTATGCCATAATCATCAGTATTAAAACAATTAAAGACCTGAAATATTTCAGTTGGTGTGCAATGAATCTGAAATATATGAAAGTTTAATTTTTATCATTACATTATGGAAAATAATGACCTTTATCACAATATGCTAATTTTTTTAGAAGGACCTGTAAAGGTTGAATGAAAAAAAAACAATAGTATAATATTGTAAAAAGAAGAAAGAATCCATTTTGTATCTTAGTTATTAAAATGTATGCAAATTCATGAAAATGTTGGGAAAATCATTTTTCTTGTTGCCTTCTTAGCTTCCAGCCTCCTCCTCCATGGTGGGCAATGCTACTTATAGATTAGCTTGATCTTGTAGCCAGGCAAGTCAAAGATTACAGTGGCTGTTGTATCTGGCAGCTTATTGGTCGCTGTGCGGGTGTCAGCAGACTGCATTATTTGTCTCTTGCTTAGTGTAACCCAGGTAACTCAGAGGTTGATATCTGAATATTAACTGTTATTTTGGGAGTTAACTTGATTTAAGATGTCTGGCAAAGCCAATTAACTTCAGCAAACATTAAATGAATGGCTATAATTTGAGGCTTCCACATACTTGGGCATACTTCACTCCTCATAGGTCAATGTCTACCGGATTAGACTCAGTGCGAACTTGAAGCGGACGCCCGCAAGCTATGTCTGTCCAAAGATCAATTTTTACGGCCACATATGCGTATTTGATGTTACATAATAAACTGCCCGGTTGCAGACTGTTTTGTATGCAACAACAATGTATTAAATTTGCCTTCTTCATCCCTGGTCTGGTTTAATGGCCTTTTCTTTTCTTTCTTTTTTTTCCCCCAAGAGGCAAGAGATCTCTTCCTCCTCGTCTGTTGATGCCATGACTGAAATTGTGAGAAATGAAGGAATTTGTCACGAGCGAATTAAAACCAGGTTCAGCGTGGCTGCAGGAGGGTCTGGAGATTTTGCGGTGGGCCGGTCTGATATGTGGGCTGCAGGGCCAGAGCTCCGTTTGTTTGTTTTTTTAAAGACTTTTTATTAACATATAAACACAGAATACCGCTGCTGCTGCTCCTGGGCTGCGACCTGTCAATCAGTCCAGTAGGCGTGTCAGCAAATGACCAATTGGCAAAGTTAATTTGTCCCAAAGGTAAACGCCCCTTGCCTGCGGCGCTGGGCTGCAGCTGGGTGTACGCTTCAGTATGAAGTCTCAACCGTCTGCGAGCAATATGGGCAGTGCGGACAGTGCATCTCAACCATCTGTGGACAGTGCGCGCAGTGTCCACGTGGCTCACGGAGTGCACACAGTATGTGGGAGCCTTTAGCCAGTTTTAAATATATGGCTCTAATTTGGCGTGGGTAGTAGCTGACAGTCATCTTCATCACACACTGATTGCGAACAGCTCATTCAATATCTGTTTAAAACTTTTGCCTGCAAGGCAGCAGGGTGTATGCATTCAAGTTTTTTTTTTTTTTTTTCTGTGTCTCTGGATGACCATGAACTGTTGAAATCCATATCATTTCTGTGAGGGTAAGAATATGCCCCGATTTACAAAATGCGACCAGAGTTGGAATAAGCAGGAAAATGTTCCGCTCCTAAAAAGTAGATTGGCACAGAGTAAGGTGAAGTGTACTGGGTTTAACTTGGTCTCAGAGTTAGATGCAATGAGAACTTTGATGGTGGGGCTGTTGTGCAGGGAATTATGGGGCGGGACGCAGGGGGTGGGGATTGGCTGAGTCTGGTTTTCTGCCAGTTGCGTACAAAGCTTTATTGTGAGGGGTCTTACAGTGCCCCCTTCTTGTTTTTATTTTCTCCCTCTGTTAGCTAAGATATTACTTCCGCAAACGGTCAGTAATTAGACAAGTTTTTTTTTGTTGATACAGTCCATATTGTATTGACAATGCTTTGTTGTGCATTGGTTTAAATAAATCTACAAGGTGGCAGTCGTTAGGAGTTACAAATTTTGCAGATTATCCAAAGTGTGAAGAAAAAGCCACAAAGTGTAGTTGCAGATGTTTGACAGGTTGGTTGTGTGCACATATAGGTGTGTGTGTGTGTGTGTGTGTCTGTGTGTGTGAGTGTGTGTGTGTCCTCCAGCATATTACAGCTTGCCTGTTACGAGAAGAACTTTTTACCTCACAAATTATAGGAGTTAAGGGACCAGAACACCCTTCTTTTTTGCCAGATGTTAACCTGAATATTAGGACCGTGTGTGTGTGTGTGTGTGTGTGTGTGTGTGTGTGTGTGTGTGTGTGCGTGTATGTGTGTGAGTTTACACCCATCACCTCTTTCAGTATGAGAGCAGTGGACAAGAACGCTTGTTCCCTGGTTTGTGCGTGCCTTCATGTATTTTTATGCACTGCTTCAACCCACGTGCTTCATTCGCAAACAACAAAAGTTTTCCAAAAGCAGCGTGTGTGCGAGGGAGCCTGTGCATGTGTGTACGAGTGTGTCTCACGCAGCCAACATGTGGTTCAGATTTCCTCTGAGGCCACATGGGCAAATACACAGCAAGGCAGAAAAGTTAGATATCAGTAGGAAGAACTACAGTCCCATTCCAAAACACTGCTAAACTAGCACATTCTGTTTAAAAGTGAACTTCTAAATACAGTGGGTACGTAAAATATTCAGACCCCTTTAAATTTTTCACTCTTTGTTTCATTGCAGCCTTTTACTAAAATCAAAAAAAGTTCATTTTATTTCTCATTAATTTACACTCAGCACCCCATCTTGACATAAAAAAACAGAAATGTAGAAATATTTGACAATTTATTAAAAAAGAAAAACTGAAATATCACATGGTCATAAGTATTCAGACCCTTTGCTTTGTATTGAGTAGAAGCACCTTTTGAGATAGTACAGCCACGAGTGTTCTTGGGAATGATGCAACAAGTTTTTCACACCTGGATTTGGGGATCCTCTCCAGTTCCGTCAGGTTGGATGGTGAACGTTGGTGGACAGCCATTTTCAGGTGTCTCCAGAGATGCTCAGTTGGGTTTAGGTCAGGGATCTGGCTGGACCAGCCAAGAATGGTCACAGAATTCCGAAGCCACTCCTTTGTAATTTTAGCTGTGTGCTTAGGGTTATTGCCTTATTGGAAGGTGAACCTTTGGTCCAGTCTGAGGTCCAGAGCACTCTGGGAGAAGTTTTCTTCCAGGATATCTCTGTACTTGGCCGCATTCATCTTTCCTTCAATTGCAACCGTCGTCCTGTCCATGCAGCTGAAAAAAAAAAACCATAGTATGATGCTGCCACCACCATGTTTCACTGTTGGGATTGCATTGGGCAGGTGATGAGCAGTGCCTGGTTTTCTCCACATATACTGCTTAGAATTAACGCCAAAAAGTTCATTCTTCATCTCATCAGACCAAAGAATCTTATTTCTCATAGTATGGGAGTCCTTCATGTGTTTTTGGCAAACCCTATGCGAGCTTTCATATGTCTTGCACTGAGGAGAGGCTTCCGTCGGGCCACTCTGCCATAAAGCCCTGACTGGTGGAAGGCTGCAGTGATAGTTGACTTTGTGGAACTTTCTCCCATCTCCCTACTGCATCTCTGGAGTTCAGCCACAGTGATCTTTGGGTTCTTTACCTCTCTCACCAAGGCTCTTCTCCCACGATTGCTCAGTTTGGCTGTACGGCCAGGTCTAGGAAGAGTTCTGGCCATCCCAAACTTCTTCCATTTAAGGATTATGGAGGCCACTGTGCTCGTAGGAACTTTGAGTGCTGCAGAAATTATTTTTGTAACCTTGGCCAGATCAGTGCCTTGCCACAATTCTGTCTCTGAGCTCTTTGGGCAGTTCCTTTCACCTAATGATTCTCATTTGCTCTGACATGCACTGTGAGCTGTGAGGTCTTATATAGACAGGTGTGTGCCTTTCCTAATCAAGTCCAATCAGTTTAATTAAACACAGCTGGACTCCAGTGAAGGAGTAGAAACATCTCAAGGAGGAACAGAAGGAAATGGACAGCATGTGAGTTAAATATGAGTGTCACAGCAAAGGGTCTGAATACTTATGACCATGTGGTATTTCAGTTTTTCTTTGCAAACATTTCTACATTTCTGTTTTTTATGTCAGGATGGGGTGCTGAGTGTACATTAATGAGAAATAAAATGAACTTTTTTGATTTTAGCAAAAGGCTGCAATGAAACAAAAAGTGAAAAATTTAAAGGGGTCTGAATACTTTCCGTACCCACTGTATGATGCTTTTATGTGACACAAATGTTTCTGTTTAATTTTTTGTGTACTGTGTCAATTTGTTTGAAGCTTAAAGGGGAATAATATATGTACTCTATTGTGTTGCTCATACCCATGCTCATCTTGACTGGTAGCTTCTCTTTACTGGCTGCCTCAACCAGGTGCCGACGGACTTCCATCACAGCTTCTTTGTGTTTACTGGTCAGCATCACCTCCCACAGCGATCTTGCCGTGGATGATCTGATAAGAATGACAATCCAACAAGTACATTTAGTACTCAGGGAAAGAATAAAGTAGGGTCAATTTTTTTAATGATTTTTAATCCTAGCGGACAATAGCAACGTTTGTTCAAAGTGCAGAAAGCTTATTAAATAAACACAAAAGGACAATACAGGTGTGATTGAATGCTTGTATCACTGATAGAGACCCTGGTGGTAGGGGAGAGGAAATGCCCCATTGAAACAGCTCATGGGAAAAGGTTTAAATTAGCAGAGGGAACATTAATAACAGTTCTAGAATTGCGCTGCTCAAGGTGGCTGCATGTTGGAGCAGCTCTGTTACTTTCATTCTGAGATTCTGCTTTTGGAAACTTTAATTCCTCTTTTTCTGGATGTAAATCACTTTTTTTTTTTTTTGGATGATTGTTTCCTCTGGTATCGGATGCTGTGCAGCTGGAAGGATTTTTACTGAAACTTTTTTTTAGTTTTGGACATTTGTTATGATGCATAACCATGGCATCAAGGCAGTTTTCTAAAACCAGCAGCAGCTGATTAACATCTCAAAAGCTCAAATAATATGTCAACTACAGCCCCAAATCTCAAATGAGTTGAAAAGGATGTTCTGTGGACGCATTCTCATCTACCTGCCAGCTGTGCTCGAGTGCCTGACCACTGAGATCCTGGAACTAGCAGGAAACACGGCTCATGACAGCGGAAGGACAGGATTGTCCCTCAGCACCTACAGTTGGCTGTCCGCAGTGACGAGGAGCTCTGCAGACTGCTGGGAGGAGTGGCCATCGCTCTGGGAGGAGTTCTGTCCTGCATTCAAGCGGTCTTACAGCCCGGGGGAACCGAGAGGCCAGCTGAGTCTGGATGGACGGATCGGACGGCTTCTGAAGCCAGTCTCTTAGGATCCACTGTGGGATGGACCTTTACAAGAGATCCTTCCTGTCTACAGCCATCAGCATCTATAACATATCTTAATGAAATGAGGATAACGAGTTACAACAACAAATAATTTCCCTTTGGGATTAATAAAGTATATTTGAATTGAATTGAATTAAGGATGTCAGCAGTCCACCTAAAAATGTCTGCGAGCCGACATTCCTCTAAAAGGATCAGTACCGTTCTTCCATTGGAGTTGAAGCCTAACAGTTTGGAGACCAACACATCTCCTCGGTACCATCACAGGGCACATCTCAGTCCATTATCTCATTATCCACAAGGTTATGAAGCATACCAATCCACATCTCTAATGGGAGAACAACAAGGACTGAGTCCAAAATAATTACTGTCTGTTGTCAGAAAAGCAGCTTTCCAAAACTGAATCAAAAAGTATCACTGCATAAGAAAATCCATAGATAAGAGCAGGTTCAAGGTAACTATTGTGCTGGAATTTAAGCTACTGACGCATTCTGTATCTTGGTCAAAATAAGTCTGTTTAAACCTCGATAAAGGCACTGACACTTTGATGTTTGGATAAAATGGCAAACATTTAACTTGACAGCTTTAAAGACAAAACAAGATTATCTTGTTTTACTCTGAAGAACTCAAAATTTAACAGAAAGAAAAAACAAACAAAGAAACTGAACCAAAGACAAAAAAAAATTAAAAAGAGGGAAGGTGGGAGGGACCTCGTTGACATATCCACTCTGTTTTTCTTTTTTTTTTTCTCGCCTTTTCTCCTTTCTAACTGCTGCCATGTGTTTAATATCAGATGTAATCTGTTCCAGACCTCTGGCTGGGGAGCAGTGGGCTTACGCTGGGTCGTCCACATCTCTACAACGAAACTAGACACTATGACTTACAAATACAACACATCGCCAAGAAAAGTTGAGTTTATTGTAAAACCAAGTGTTGTGAAATGAAATTTGTCTAAAAAATAGCAAATAAATAACAACTAAAATAACAACTTGGTTTACTCAAGTTCATATTGAGCAATAAATAAATTAGTGAAGTGTGGCCATTATTCAAAAACATATGATGGGGGATCATTTTAGTCAAACACTTCCCTTGTGTTTAATGACGCATTAGAAAAACTATGACTACACAAATCATGAAAATCCCACATGCTTACAATCGCTGAAATACCAAAAGTGCCATTTGACTTTTCCAGGCAGTCCTGAGTGTTTGTGTCAGAGGATGTGTACACATGCACATCTGCACATGTTTGCACACAGTCCTGCATATCTGCGTGTGTTCTTGGACGTTGAAGGGACTCTGACAAGTGTAAATGAAACATGGTTCTCATTTGGCTGTTTGCCCACCCCCCACCACCATCCTCCAGCAATAACGATAGCTTGTACTTCCATCCCTGAGCACGCTGGTCAGACAAAAGTAGGAGGGTGGGGGTAGACCAAAGGGTGGGGTAAGGTTTATATTGGCAGGGTGTTAGACAGGCTCTTCAAGCAGTCAAAAGTTGTTGAGAAACAGCTCTGGTCTGGGTTGGGTGGGCGGTGTGGGAATCTGTTTTGCGTGCGCTCGGCCATCTGTGTGGTTGTGTTTAGGTTATGAGTGCAGAATTTGTCTTCTTTGTAAAAATAAAATAAAATAAAATAAATACTACACACACTGAGCTGTAGGGGGTGCTCTTGCACTTGGCCTGTGAGCCTGTCCTCTGGTTTGCTTGACAAGTTGAGCTGAGAGTTTGGAGAGTGTGGACAAATTAAATCTCACTAGGTGTGTAATGAGTGTTGTTCCATTAAAAAACACTTAATATTCAAATGTTAGAGCTGAAAGGCCAATATGTGTGAAATATTACGAAAAAGAGCACACGTACCTATTAAACTATCGCCTACATTGTCAAAAACATGAGTGAATAGAGGAGTGAGGGGGTGGCTTGGAGGGGGTGGGCTCTGTTCCTGGCAGAGTATGATGCAAAAGAAAAGAATGAATAAAATCATTCTGACTCACCGTTTTCTTTCATTTAACCCTCATTTTGTAGCCCCTTCAACACACATTTAGGAGTTTTTAGTTTATTATATGGAACCCACAGCAGTGGGTTTGGATTTTAGATATAACTATTATAAAATCAGGTAAATTACAAAAAGTTGCTCTCAAACAAATACATTATAAGGTTTTGTTTATCAGGCAGCACGGTGGCACAACTGGTAGAGCTGCTGCCTCTCAGCGAGCAGGTACCCAGTTCAAATCCTGGTCCGGGGGCCTTTCTGAGTGGAGTTTGCATGTTCTCTCCGTGCATGCATGGGTTTTCTCAGGGTACTCCGGTTTCCTCCCACAGACCAAAAACATGCATGTTAGACTGATTGGTAACTCTAAATTGTCCCTAGGTGTGAGTGAGAGAATGAATGATTGTTTGCCTCATTTGTCTCTATGTGTCCCTGTGATGGACTTGCGACCTTTCCAGGGTGCACCCCGTACCTCGTACAGTGATTGCTGGACATGGGCACCGGCGACCCCCGTGACCCAAAATGGAAGAAGCGTGTAAAAGATAATGAATGGATGGATGGATAAATATGGAATAAATGATGACACTTAAACGGACCAGTAAAATCTATGAATTTTTGCAGGAGTTGGATCCTCGATGACATCTTTTTTCATTCAACCTGTATTTATACAGGTTAATCCCATTGAGCCTCGGGGACTCATTTACAAAACAGGCCTGAGACCTGTCAATCAATCCAGTAGGGTTGTCAGCAACTGACCAATCGGCAATTGCAATTTGTCCCAAAGTGAAACACCCCTTGCCTGCAGGAGCTCCACCCCCATTTCCCCCAACAACCTTGTTGGGGTTTTGAATTACGAAGGGAAAGGAGGGAAAGGAAGTCTGAGATTGTCATCATTGTATGTTCCCCATACATTGATGAAATTAGTTATCTGCATTTAACTCATCACACGTGAGATACATCCAGGTGGAGCAGTGGACAACTATGTAAGCGCCCGGGGAGCAATAAGGGATTGGACGTCTTGCTCAGAGCCAACACGACATGTTGAAATGACTGGGAGTCAAACAGCGAATTTTTGGTCCCAAGTTGGCTGCCCTACCTCTACCCCATCTCAGCCCCACATCTCGGCCCCTACGGACACTTTGCAATCATAGAGATTTTGTGAAAAATCATCAGAAAAATAGTTAAATGTCAGTGGGGAATGTAATGCAGACAGCGTTACCCTGAGCATTTCGAGGATGGAATACAGTTTATTCAATTTTCATAAGCTAAACGGAGTCTCGACAGTACAATGACTCAGTAGTTAGCACTGTTGCCTTATTGCAAGAAGGTCCTACGTTCAATCCCCAGTTGGACCAGGGGTCTTTCTGTGTGGAGTTTGCATGTTCTTCTTGTGCTTGCGTGGGTTTTCTCCGGGTACTCCGGTTTCCTCCCACAGACCAAAAACATGCATGTTAGGTTGCCTTCAGGCCCAGGCCTCCCTTGCAAAATAGATCTGTGATCTCAATGGGATTTGCCTGGTTAAAGAAAGATAATAATAATACTACTTGGATGGGAGACCATCTGGAAATACCAGGTCCTGTAAGCTTTTGCACTTACCTCACCATGGGGTGCATTGTTTAATCCAAGAGCCATTGTCAGTATTGGGAGCTAAGCACCCCAAAAGGTCAGATTTTAGAATCACTCCTGGTAGGTGGTCTTTGGAATAAGTTGTCTTTGATCACATTTATTTAGCTCAAGTACAACAAGTAACCCGTCCAGATGACCTCACTGAACATTGTTGGATTTTATACCTGGATTATTGAGAATGAACTTGATGTACAAGTAGCATTCACAAACTAGTAACTACTCACTAAAAAACAACAAAAACACAGTAACCTACAGCCCAATGTGCAACTTCAAATTAGTTAAGAACTTTCCAAGAGAATTGCATCTAATAGAACCACACTAATAAAGTACAAGTGTATGTGGTCAACTTTGCTACTTGGTTTGTTGATTCTTAGAGTTTAACGGCAAAGAAAAAAAAAAAGTTTGTTCGTGTAAACATTTTCTTGAGGACACATATGTAAAAGATGAGGGAGATGAAGGACCGGAACCAGCTCTGGCCTTGAGTGTC